GTCACAAGAAATAAATCACATCTGGTAATTCCCTAATAAGCCTTCCTTCAGTGTAAATCCCTAATGTTGATAGATTTCCTAGGCAGAGTAAGAAGGTAAGTGTACTTGCAAGAGTCTTGAATGTCAATTTTAATTGTCTGAAAAAGATGTAATGGTAATAGATTGTTACAGGATTTTTTTTTAATATAGGTTAATGTTGCTTAGTATCAGTATGTAGCTGGATAAATTTAATTTTGACTTTTTGAAGAAATAAAGAATAGCAGTATTCAATGGATAGGAGAAATTTTTTTAAATGAGGTAGCATTGGTTTATAACACTGCATATGATTTAGAGGTATAGGGTCAAAATTATCAGGTATATTAACATACCTCAACCACCTCCAAGGTGGTTGTAAGCTCTTCACCATAGTCCATTTGTACCTTCCCACTTTGTTCCATTCCCCTCTTACCCTCTCTTTAGTAGCCTCAATTCTGCAGTCAGATTTCTAGGTTTCTTGGCTTGGTTTTGTTTGTCCCCTTGTTTTGTTTCTCTATATTCCATGTATATGTGACAATTTTTATGTCATAAAAAACTTAAATTACACATCAAATTAAACAACCATATGATCTCTTTCTGAAAAATGGAGAAAACAGTGGAGAAAGGAAAGTCTCATCAAGAAATGGTATTGGGGGCCTCCCCGTGGCACAGCGGTTGAGCGCTGGGTTGCGAAGCTGCCCGCAGCCTCTGCAGCGCTGGTTCGATCCCCGGCTGCTCCCCGGCCACCAGAGGAGAGTCCCCCATGGTGCGCAGACCTCTCCTGCCACCCGCTGCTCCCCTCAGCAGTGTACTTCGGTCCTTCTGCCTGCTCTGCTCCCTGCTCTGGCTCTGGTGAATTCTCTCACCCTCCTGCGCTTCTGACTGTACCCAGTGCTTGTATAAATAAATAAATAAATATTAAAAAAAATATTTAAAAAAAAATGGTATTGGGCTAATGTAAAAAAAAATGAAACTAGATCACTATCTCACACTACTTATAAAAATTAACCCAAAGGGCCTCCTGTGGTGGCGCAGCAGTTGAGCACTGGGCTGCGAAGCTGCCTGTAGCCTCTGTAGCACCGGTTTGATCCCCAGCAGCTGGCGAGGGTCCCACATGGCACGCAGACCTCTCCTGCCGCACCCGCTGCTCCCCTCAGCAGTGTATTTCATCAGTCTGCCTATTCTGCTCCCTGCTCTGGCTCTGGTGAATTCTCTCACCCTCCCGCACTTCTGACTCCACCCAGTGCTTGTATAAATAAATAAATAAATCTTTAAAAAAATTTAACTCAAAAAGGATTAAAGACTTGAATGTCGGGCCTCCCCAGTGGCGCAGCGGTTGAGCGCTGGGTTGCGAAGCTGCCCGCAGCCTCTGCAGTGCCAGTTCGATCCCTGGCTGCTCCCCGGCCACCAGAGGAGGGTCCCACATGGAGCGCAGACCTCTCCTGCCGCCCGCTGCTCCCCTCAGCAGTGTACTTCTGCCTGCTCTGCTCCCTGCTCTGACTCTTGTGAATTCTCTCACCCTGCCACGCTTCTGACTGTACCCAGTGCGTGTATAAATAAATAAATCTTTAAAAAAAAAAAAAAGACTTGGATGTAGGACTTGAAACCATAAAACATACATAGAAGAAAATATAGCCAAAACACAGCACAGTATTGGATACAGAGATGTGTGGGGCTTCAGCTCCAACAGCAAGACGAACAAAAGCAAAAATAAACAAATGGAACGATGACATCAAACTCAAAAGCTTTTGCACAGCATAAGAAGCCATCACTATACCAAAAAGACCCTATTGATTGAGGGAAAATATTTATACTCTACACATTTGATAAGTGGCTAATGTCCAAGACCTACATAAAACTCATATAACTTAACAAAAAGAAAATAACCCAACCAAAGAATGGGCAGAAGAACTAAATAGACATATCTCCAATGAAGACATATGGATGACCAACAGGCACATGAAAAAGTGCTCATCAACTCTTAGGGAAATGCAAATCAAAACCACAATGAGATACTACGTCATATCTGTGAGACTGGCTCATATCAGAAAGATCACAAACAAATATTGGTAAGGATATGGAGAAAAAGGAGTCCTCATACATTATTGGTGGGACTGTATACTGACTCAGATGCTATTGAAAAAGGTATGGAGGTTTCTCAAAATATTAAGAATGCATCTACCATGTAATCTAGCAATTTGACTCCTAGATATCTACCTGAAAGATGCAAAAACACAAATTCCAAAGGATTTATACACTCATTATGATTACAGTACTATTTTCTTATTTTTTTCAACTTTTATAAACTATTTATCATCCGTTAACCTTATTTCCACTTTCTGTTCAAGTCTCTGGAAGAACAGCTTAAGACCACTTAGTGGTTGTTCCCACCCACTCAGTGGCTTGAGCAGTGGGAACTGCAGACCAGTCTTCAGTCTTCAGTAGGGAACTGCTGGATAGGTACAGAGGGTACCTGCATGCCTTCAGACCAGTCTGCCACCTCAGGCTGAGTAGCAGTAAACTCAGGAGCTGGAGCCGTCCATTCACCCTGAAATTCCTCCTTGGTCACAGCCTTTTCAGCAGCGGCCTGCTCTTCCTTTTCAATCTCTTCAGGATCCCTGGAGAAGTAGAGATCAGGCATGACCTTGCAAGAGTGTTCACAGGAGATGGTGCCACGCATGCGCAGAACTTCCCGGGCCAGCATCCACCACATGAGATCCACTGAGTGAGTGCCCTTATTGTTGCAGGGGATGGCAATGTCCACATAGCACAGAGGCAAGTTTGTGTTACACAGAGCAATGGTAGGCAGGTTAATGTAGAATGTCAGCCCTGGGATCGGTAACCACCAAAAGTCTTTGCTCCCGGGAAGCTGCCTGGATCTGGTTAGTGAAGGTTCCAGGAGTGAAGCGGCCAGCAATAGGAGTGGCTCCAGTGGCAGCAGCAAACTTCAGCACTGCTCGCTGGCCAGCATTCCTGGATGAGTACAACACTGACATCAGCCGGATTTTCAATGGCAACAATGGCACGAGCTGCCAGCAGGAGCTTCTCCCAGGTTCTCCTCAAATTTATGATAAAGAGGCCATCACTTTTCTTTTGCAGATGTACTTTTCTATCTGGAAGTCAAGGTTGGTGCCACCTAGATGGGTTCCTGCTGCAAGGAACTTGAGGACATCCTCCTCCTTTATTTGCAGGACATCAAGGGCTCTGGACATTGTGAAAGTTTCCCCCGACGGGAACCTAAAACAACGCTGTATATGGACCCCTCCCTGGGCAGTGTGGAAAAGCTACAGTACTGTTTTCTATTGCCAACTTGGGAAACAACCTAAGTGCCAAACAACAGATGAGTAGATAAAGATATGGTGTGCATAAATATATATATGCTGGAATACTACTTGACTATAAATAAAAAATAAAAAAGACCTTTTTTCTCGACAATATGGGTGGAACTGAGATTATACTAAATGAAATAAATCTGAAAGAGAAAGACAAACACAGCATTTCATTTAACTATAGAATAGAAAACAAAACAATGGAATAGACAAAACAAACTCTAGAAATCTAACTGTAGATTTGAGGTTATCAGAGGGGAAGTGAGAGGTAAAGGGTGGGGGAGACAGGGTCTTCTGATCTGCCATGATGGAGGATTACAGTTTCCTTGGTGTGATGGATGTGATTGGTAACATACATCTGAAGATGTGTGAACCTATACCTCTGAATCATATACAATATCGTAAACCAGTGTTACTGCAATAAACAACACAAATTGAAAGAGGGAGAAAAAAAGAATATAAATAGCTGGAACTACATCAAACTAAAAAGCTTCTGTACAGCAAGAGACAGCAACCAAAATGAAGAGACACCCTGCTGGATGGGAAAAAATATTTGCACACCATACATCTGATAAGGACTGTTATCAAATAGTTTTTTTTTTTTAACTAGAAAAGTTCATACTAACAATTATATGGAAAAATAGACATGTGAAAATAGCCAGGGATATGGTGAAGGGAGACAGTGTGAAGCAACTGTGAGAATCCAGTACCAGACACTAGCATACTTTATAGCCTGTATAATTATGACAGTGTAATGTTGTTGCATGAGTAAAGAGACCATTGGAAAGGAACAGGAAGCTAGAAATAGACCCACCTGTATATGGACATTTAGCTATGATGATATTTCAAATAATTGGAGCTAATGTGGATTTGTTTTTAACAGGTTAAACTTTTGGGAAATGATAAAATTAGATTCATATGTAAAAAAAAAAAGCCTTTCTAATTAGATGCATTGAACACAATCATTAAAAATATTTCTGAAATTCAGGGGGTTTTTTTGCTGAAAAATAAAATCCAGTGAAAACATTTATTAGTGCTTAGATAATAAATACATTTAAAGTTACTTTTCATCTACTGTTTTATAATACATAGTCCATTGAGTATCAGCTGCATTTATCTTTTCCATCTAAAGTGTTGTTTTCTAGTTTCAGCAAGTGAATAAATGTGCATAATTTTTATATTAGTTTTGCTATTTATGGATTATTGGTTCATTTTTTGAAGGTATGCCTGCATTAACCTATAATGTTATTTAAGTAATCAACTCTTAGATATTTGGCATAAGATATCTTTATTTTTCTTTTGAACTGTCCTTCAATTTGAATCATAATTTAGACAGGGAGTCAAGATGCTTTATATGCTTCACTTTTGCTAGAAAGAAAATAATATTTATATGTTCTAAAGTGGCTATACAGATAATTTCTAAATCTTAACTGCCTTGGGAATAGTCTCCTCTTAACAGTTTTTCATTATAAAATCCTCAGGGGGTAGACACAAATTGAGCATTTAATCCATCTTCCTACCACTTTTTTTTTAATCCCCACAGAATCCTTTTCCATATTTTTTCTCTTCTATTTTTTAAAATAGTTTTTAGTCTTCTTGTTTTAACTAATAGTTTTTTTTCTACTTGACTTCTTTATTGAAATATCTGGCTACTATCTTTAAAAAGTTGCTCTGGCCTGCTTTGTGGACACGTTTCGCGGTATGGGGCAGAGCCTCCAGTCAGTCAGTACTCCTTGAGGATCCCAGAAGCCGGACCCGCAATGGAAGAAGACCAGGAGCTTGAGAGGAAAGCAATAGAAGAACTGCTTAAAGAGGCAAAACGTGGGAAAACAAGAGCAGAAACAATGGAACCTGTGGGTTGGATGAAGTGTCCTCTTGTTGGTACCAATAAAAGATTTTTAATTAACACAATTAAGAACACACTACCTTCCCATAAAGTGCAAGACCATGAACAAAGAGAAGGCAGCAAGGAACCTGCAAAAAGCCAGAACCAGAAAGAAGAAAACTGGAAGAAGCACAGAACCCACCATTAAAAGCACAGCTTCCAGGCCAGAGACACTGCCAGTGCTTCTCCATCCAGGAAGCATAGCAGCCAAGAGAAGTATGAGAAGCGACTGAACAAGCGATAAGGCAGGGACAAAGAATAAGCCAGTCACTGGCAACTAGTGCAGTTATATTGGGGACTGGGGGTGTGTAGAAAAAGTTATTAGTGCAGACCTTGAGATGGCAGAGCCAACACCTAAGTGATTTTCGAAGTAATTTTTAAAGGTCCTTTGTCATGAAAACCAGAAAATGACCTAAAGATTCTTCAGAGAAATTAGTGCAAAAGACCCTACTCCGAAGATGTCTTGGCAAATTTAAGCTACTTAAGCAGTGTAGTCGACTTATGTATTGCTTTTATTCTATCTTGTTTGGAAGTTAGTCGCAAAATCTACAACTTAGAGGTTTTCAGAGATTGTTAAAACTAGTCCAGTTTTTGTGTGTGCAGTGATTGTGGTCATTTCTCAGATTTACACCAGTGAGAATGGCACATATTAAAAAAACTAGCATCAACTAATGTTGGTGAGGATGTGGAGAAAAAGGAACTCTCCTGCACTGCTGGTGGGAGTGCAAAATGGTCCAACCACTATGGAAAGCTGTGTGGAGATTTCTTAACCTACTAAAGATAGAGCTTCCATATGATCCAGGAACTCCGCTCCTAGTTATTTACCCAAAGGACACAAAAACATTAATTCAAAAGCGCACCTGCACCCCTGTGTTTATAGCAGCACTATTTTACAATAGCTAAACTATGGAAACAACCCAAATGCCCAAAAATAGATGACAGGATCAAGAAGATGTGGTACATATATACAATGGAATATTACTCAGCAATCAAAAAAGATGAACTCATGCAATTTGCAGCAACATGGATGGTTTGGAAGGGATCATCCTCAGTGAAATAAGCCAGAAAGAAAAAGAAAATACCGGATTGTCTCAACTCAGCAGGAATTTAGAAAACCTAAATAAGGGACCAGGAAAAAGACTAATTACAATAAAGTAAAAATCAAGGTCAACAAGCAATTATAGACCAGAGACACACTACAGTGGGCGCGGGAGGAGGAGAAGAGGGATTAGGGTCAGAAAAGGGGGGTGGGAATTGTATGGGGAATATAACCAAAATGAAAATGCATACATTATGCAAAAATGATGTAAGAATTATATAAAATAAAATAATTTATAAAAAAAGAAATGAGTGGAATTGAAATTAAGTAATAAATAAATGCTAACTATAAAAAAATAGTTGCTCGGAGTTCTTTTTCATCTTCATTGCTTCTTTACCTTGTAAATGTATTTGTTGTACATGTTATGTACAATAACATTGTATGCACAATAACATTTTAATTATTTTACATGTCTGTTTTTCTGTTAGACTGATTCATTGGAATAAGACTGACTTATTTTTGTGTGCTGATATAATAATAGTTACTGCTTGTTTAATGAATTGATAGTTAAAATTTTCAAAAATTTATTCTAATCCTACAGAACATATTGTGAGCTATATTATGTGTACTCATCATAAACTAGCTAAAAAGACCACAGATACAAGAATTTAATTTTGTCAGTATTTATGTCAGATATTCTTTAATATTTGTAAACTTTCCACTTTAGAAAATATACTAATTTGTAGGCCTATGTGTATATTTTTATTTTAGGAAAAACTGATAAAATATGCAACAGACAGTGAAACAGTGGAACCTATTATTTCACAGTTGGTGACAGTACTTTTGAAAGGTTGCCAAGATGCAAACTCCCAAGCTCGGTTGCTCTGTGGGGAATGTTTAGGAGAGTTGGGGGCAATAGATCCAGGCCGACTAGATTTCTCAACAACTGAAACCCAAGGAAAAGATCTTATATTTGTGGTAAGTATTGGTAATTTAGAATGAGAAAAATGAATTTTCTGTCCTATTGGGGTTTCTATATTCCACTTAGAAAGACAGCACAGGATTTGTAACTTGTTTAGTAACAAGTTGCTTAGTAGTAAACTTGATCCAAACTAGACAGTTAGGCAACATCTGAGTTTATTTGTTGTAGAGACCTTTGGTGGAAAATAATAAAGTTTCAGCCAAATGTAATATGCTATGGTCTTTAAAATAAATCTTCCTAACCTAATTATTACAAATATTTAATAGCTAGTTAATTATTTAAATATTACTATTTAAACTCTATTGCTAAGTGTTTCTTTGGGAAACTCATTTCTAGAGTGTTCTAATAGTATATATGTAAAAAAGTATCCACGATCAAATTGAGTTTGGGAATCCTGCAAAACAAAATTAAACAACTTTTAATTAATCAGTAGATTTTGTCAGTCTCCAAGAGGAGGGTATGTTAAAATTATTTCTTGAGGCTTTTCAAGTGATTGGGCCTCTATAGAATGCAAGGTAGAAATGCTATAGTTTTCTTTCTAAGAATCAAAAAAATATAAATTGTTAGTAAAAATTGATACTATTGATGTATTTTTTTCTATATTTTTCAAGTAAAAATGCATCATGACTTCTCCGACAGCCATTCAATATTACACTTTATAAATAGCCTAAAAAACCTTAGGTTTAGCTTCTTAGTTACAGGTGATATTTTAGATTTGTACCAAATTTATTTTGAACTTTAGCCTCCTTTTCTAAGTTAAATTGACCATGGAAGACATGGCACATTTAACAAATATTTTTACAAATTATTTTTGAATTTTTTCTTGTTTTTAATTGAGACTGGAGTAGAAGATTCAAACTTTGCCTATGGATTATTGATGGAACTGACAAGAGCTTACCTTGCATATGCAGACAACAGCCGAGCTCAGGATTCAGCTGCATATGCAATTCAGGTAACGGGGCATGTAGTTATTAACTATTTTAGTAAGAAATTTATTACTGAATTTTAGTAAGAAATTTATAAATTCTGTGCTCTTGAAACATGTAACATTTTATTATCAAAATAATTGCAAATTCATGATAAAAATTTCAGAGTATAGAAATGTACCCTTTTAATAGATTATTATAGTTTTTTTGTGTGTGAATACAGAGATACATGTTTTCTCTACCAAATAAAGAAATTATATTACTTGTGATGTTCTGTAACTTGAGTTTTCTTTTCTGTTAAATAGTCTTTCTTAGTTATTTTCCATAGTTAGTTCATATATGTGTTTATATATATAAGTATCTATTATATTCTTTTCAAAGATAATATTCAATATGAATATACCTTAATTTAGTTAAATTTATTTATCCTGAACAAATTTAGGATGTGTTCAGTGTTTTACTTTTAAACTTTTTACAAATGATTTAGAGATCATGCATATATTTCTGAGTACTTGAGTGAATGTATCAATAATACAAATATATAGAAGTTAAAGTACATCTCAGAGAAAGTACAGTGTTCATATCTGATAACCTTTTATAAAAAAAATTTCACCAGTTTATGCTCTTGACAAACCTGCCTTCTACCAAAATTTTACATATTTGACAATGTGATAGATGAACGATGATATTGCACTTTAATTTGTATCTAGTTATAAGTGTAACATGTTTTCATTATTTATTGGGGTTTTTGTTTGTGTGAATTTTCTCTAGATGATCCTTGTGCATTTCCTTTTTGGTATTGTTCTGGTTTTTATTGATACTTAAGACCTATTTCACTCTAATGGAAATTAACCTTTCCTCTGTTGTACATGTACTAAATATTTTGTTTTCTTTATTCTTTTTCATGGTATTTTTTTCAATTAAGGTGTCTGGAATTCTCTGTGAGAGGTTTGGGTTACAGAAAAAAAATTGGAGGTTATCATTGTAGCGATACTATTTAAAACTGTATTCTGGATGCTTTGATTAAAAGAGGGAGTATAGGTAAAATGGGTCTAGTAATTGATGCCTGAGTAAGGAGAGGTCAGTGAGAAGAGGAGGAACATCCAAGAAAACTGAGGAGCTGCTTGTAATATTGAGACATTGTATTAAATGCTAATCTTAAATCTGATACTATAAGGTTTGAGAACTGACCATTAACTAGTAACACAATAGTCATTGGTGATCTTGAAAAGAGCACTGTTTTCAGTGGAGTATAGAAAGCTTTATCATTTTATTAAGAGCAGGTGGGAAGAGGGAAAATTACAGAACCTCTTTTGAAAAGTGTTGCCCTCAGGAAGAGAAGAAGAAGGAGATAATAGCAAGGTAAAAAGGGGAAAAAAATGGAAAAAATTACAGTATATTTATATGTTGCTTGGGAGCAATTCAACAGAGATGATGAGTTAACGATGAAGTAAGAGAAAACTGATGTAATACTATTTAAATAGGTAAAGATGTGGAATATAGTATGTAACTGGAATTAACCAGTTACATAATTAATTAACCATAATTAAGGACAGAGGGCAGGAGAGGAAGCTGAGCATGTGGACATTGATAATGATATTGCCAGACTGGGTTGACATGAGGTTGGAAGTTGTGGAGGTTTCTTCAGATTACTTCTGTTTTTTCAGTGAAATATGCAAGATCTAAAACCTTAAGTATATTTATATATTTTGAGAATGTAGATAGTCCCCAAACCAAAAAGTTGAAGAATTGCCGATTTACTGAGTCTATTAGAGGTTAAGATGGTTTCTGTTATGTAGAGTGACTTTGCCAAACACCAAGAAAAGCTGGCTTCCAACAAAATTTAAATAATATTTTAAAGTTAAATGGGTTTTGGATATTTCAGTATTGAATTCTTTATACACTTGTGTTTATTTAAAAATACTAAAATATAAAATACATACTTTGTTAGATAGTGCTTATAGTTTTATAATTGTTAGATACAGTGCATATGATCATTATAAGTTGAATTGGGAAGAATAATTGATAATGGAAGATGTTATCCTAATGCATTCCTCTTGTTCAAAGATTTTTTAAAATTCATTTATAAAACCCCATTTGTTTTATTTTCAAATTAAAAAATTGTTTGAAATTTAATTTCTGGACTTGAATAGTAATAGTCTTTAATGTTTCATCTTATTTTCAGAATTTTAAGGTTCGTACTTTATGTCTAGAAATAGAATTACCTTGAATGTTTGAACTTTTAGATTTTTTTTTAATAAATTTTATTTTTATATTCCCCATACAATTGCAGCCCCCTTATTTTGACCCCAATCCCTCCCCTCCTTGCCCCCCACCCCCCATAGAGTGTCTCTGGTTCATAGTTTTTTGTTGATTTTGATTTTCACTTTCTTATAGTTATTC